AAGCCCTGCTAAAAATGGTGTCGATAAAACCATGACAGGATTCAGAAAACAGTTAAATCAACGCTGTTGGGTTATTACAAAAAAAAATCAACATTGGTTAACACAGTTAACATTTAAATAAGTGTGAGCAGTGGCATATTTAGGCATGGGCAATATGGTCGATGCCCAGGGCAGCATCTTGCTAGGGGGTGGTATGGTGAGACGGTGCGAAAAAAACTAACCCCAGTAAAAGCTTTGAGATATGATCTACTTTATGCAAGTGTATTAATTTAAAGCTGTAATCCCTGAATAAAGACCTTAGAGGCCATTCACAATTGGCGTATTTTGCATGCGCAAGTTTGTTATTCTCTATGTGCAACTGAAACAACAGTGGTGAAAACAAACTGACACATGCATGCGCACAGAAAACCATGCCTCACGCACTGTTCTGCTCCCGGTGTGAATACCGATTGTATACATGCATGCTGATAAAATACACGCTGCTTACTGTGAACTCGGAGTAACTTTTATGCAGCGGTGTCGGCACGCAGCAAGCTTGGCAAGTTTACAAAACTAAAGTTATAATATGATTATCTTATTTAAACTATATGGCTATGAAGCAGAAAGGAGAGATGATGAATCAGGGAGGTAAGACTTAATAACATTAATTCTCAGCCATGAGTTGGATCTAATGCCTAGTTCCGACTGCATGATTTTAGCCCCGATTTTGGCTCGCCGAGAGGTTTTGAGAAATCGCAGACAAATGCCTGAAATCACAGGCAAATCGCTGCTCGTGCACGTGAGTGACAATTAAACAGTATAAACTTTCAAAGACGCGATCTGAGAGAATCGCCGATGAGTCGCCGATGCCTGTGAGATATTTGGCATCAGCCATCGCCTACAGCCAATGAGAGAGCAGCTTTCACTTGTGTGTGCTAGTGTGTATACCTGCTGCAGGCCAGCGGGAGGCTGGGGGAGAAGTTAAAAGCGCTCTTTTTCGGTTTATTTGGACCCATGAAATGGAGGAAAAACTAGTGGAGGTTTGACAAGACTCAGGAGCAACCGTGTCTGTTTGACGTTTTATACAGAAAGAAATTAGATTATAATCAACGTTGAGGAGAAATGGCTAATTCCCTTTAAACCCAGGTGAGCAAATATGAACATGTTCTACCCCATTAAAGGCTTCTTTCTCATTATGTAGTTAATAACAAAAGATATACTACGTGTTTTTGGCTGTGAGACGTAGTTTGGACGAAGTTGTCGGCGATTCTTCCTATAGTAAAGTCATGCAATGTGAAAGTCCCTGTTGCCGATCCATCTTGCAGTGTAAACGACGAAAACGCTAGCCCAGATAGTCATGCAGTGTGAAAACATCTGTGACACGACTACTTTGAAAATCATGCATAAAATATATTTTTTGTATTCTATAAAATTGTCTTTAATATTCAAGCAAAAGATTTCTTAAGAAATCTTAGCATATCACTCAAGTTGTGTCTCTACATTTTTTCCCACTTAGGCTACATGTAGGATTAATTTCTGTGATTGTATATTTAGTATAATAATGTTTGATATTAATAATAAGAAGAATTATCATTACCATAATATATATCAGGGCGAAGCAGTGGCGCTTTAGGTAGTGCTGTTGCCTAACAGCAAGAAGGTTGCTGGTTCGAGCCTCGGCTCAGTTGACGTTTCTGTGTGGAGTTTGCATGTTCTCCCTGCGTTCGCGTGGGTTTCCTCTGGGTGCTCCGGTTTCACCCACAGTCCAAAGACATGCGGTACAGGTGAATTGGGTAGGCTAAATTGTCCGTAGTTTATAAGTATGTGTGTGTGTGGATGTTTCCCAGAGATGGGTTGTGGCTGGAAGGGCATACACTGCATAAAATCTTGCTGGATAAATTGGCGGTTCATTCCGCTGTGGCGACCCCAGATTAATAAAGGGACTAAGCCGACAAGAAAATGAATGAATGAATAATATATATCATATATTATTTATTTCTAATTACATTTCTAAAAGCAGGGGGTTCGCCCAGGGTGCCATTTAAACTAGAACCACCACTGACGTGAGGCATGTAGAATTTACATGACGCATTGTAAATAGAATTAATCCTAAAGCTTAGAGACACAATATGAAAATGTTATATTACAATTTGTGTTCATCTACACAAAATAGACTATAACTACATGCCAACCAGAAAGTAGTGGATGCAGTTCTCACATTACAGGGCGCTTTAAAACAACGCCAACTGAAGCGCTGCAGAAAAAAAAGAAAAAAAAAGAAACCAAATTAATTTTACAGTTTTATCCCTTTCAATATGTGTCTTATTATTTCTATTAATATTTTGGATTTTGGAAAAAAATAGCCTGAATATGTTTTACCACAGCTATAAAACTTCTTTCAAAATGATCAGTCGGTGGAGGTAAATAAAATAAAGCCGGCTGCTTAAACTTAAAACAAAAACAGCCTGAACATTTTACCTTGCATGTCTAATGAAACTTAATATATGGACAACATATTTTTATTCAAAAAGATCAGTCGGTCTCCGATGAAAGCTGAGTGCGAAGTTTATTTACAATTAGACCGGTGGTGGAAAAAACGCGCTCAGCAGGCACAGAAGTTGCAGGAACAGCCAGGTACCACTGGGCAAGGGTGCTTAGCCTTGCAAATCGAGACTCCTTTACTTTGCATCACAATAAAGGATCCAGGTTTAGAGAGATGCATGGCTCCCTGAAGTAGCTTTCGATTTTGGTGTCATTAGGTGAAACATCACTCATACCGCATCCTCGTCGAAAAGAGTGTCGAGACACGGCGCGCACATGACAGCTGAAATTATCAAACACCAGACGCACACATTCGAATGGTATTTAAAATGAAATTATTCAGATAACGCTCTGTGGTGCGGCAAAAATATGAAGAGCGTCCTGAGTCGTGGCTGGGCACCACTGTGTATCCTGATAGAAATACGTTTAGAATTCTGAAATGCATGACGCTGCGTGGGCCGTAGTGCGGCTCTTCTGGTGTGTGACCCCTATACTCTATCTGTGCTCAGGTCTCACCTCTAGACCATAGACTGTAAAATATATGGACGTAGTATCCGTGACGTCACCCATAGGTTTCTAAAGAGCGCAAAAGAAGCCACAAGTAGGCGCGGCCAACCGTCGCCATATTGTTCGCGCGTCATCACACCCACGGCGGGATACCAAACAAGGGCAAAGAGGCGGAGAGTGAGCGGAGCTACAGACACCTGCTGACATTTTGCTTGGACCTGGTTCAGACACACTTTACTTTAGAGAACGCTTAATACTTTATCACCTGTGACTTGTTTGTATTCTGACCACTTGTGCTTGGTTGTACACTATATCAATAAAGTGTTTAGACTTTTAAAAACTCTGCTGTAATACATTGAGCCACTAAATATTGTTCTTATGAGGTTTTTCAAAAACGCGAATTACTTCCAAACACTTCAGATATAGTCTGTGTTAGTTAATGTAAGACTATTGATGAAATCCAGCATAACACTGTATGACAACGCTTCAGATGACTGATCTACAGCCTACAGCTAATCAATTCGTCAGATTCTGGAGTTCAATACAGCTCTAAATATAATTATAAACAATAAGTGATCTTAAATAAAACAAATACATGTATAGAGATGGTATATAAGTATATAACTTTACTCACATGGGAAACGGAGGCCACATGAACGGTTTGTGAGCACAATTAAGTGCACTCAGCATGCCATGCCATCTAATAATTGTAGGAAACAAGTCCAAAAGGCAGTTGACTGTGTAAAGCCACATAAAACAACACAGAAATACGATAAATATGCCGAGATCAGTGGCTAATCTGCAGGATTCAGCTGAAGTGACGTGACGGCGACCAACGAGATCTAGCTGTCATTCAAGTAGCAACGCCCTTACTTATGCAAACTTAATATAACTTATTATAAAGGAAACGGATGAGTTATAAAAAAATTCACCCCCCTCACAGTTGTCATGAAGGGTAATATTAGCTGTATTAACCAAAATCTTTTTTTGTACCAGGCTGTAAACACCTTTTTTTCTGCTGTAAAGTTGGCCATTCTAACAGTGGCCTCAATTGAAATTTGCTCTATTTTGGAGCCAGGAGCCAGGACTAGCGGAATTTCGGATGAATTGCAGTTTTAGTTACTTCCGTATTGGCTTCCTGAGGGAGAGCGTGAGGTTGCCGCTTGCTCTAGACGCAACTCCTTACAGCCTTAACCAATCAAATATCATACTACCACCCAAATACCAACCAGAAAAAATAAATGGAATTTAATTTTAGAGCCAATCGATTATCCTTTTCATGCTCGATCTTTGCTGATGCGTTTGATTAATTAAATAATTGGACACATCCCTAAATATTATCATGACCTGCAACTTTAAAATAACATTAATTCAGAGATCATAAATGTTCTTCCTTATTTATTCAGTCAAATCAATATCCATTCAGTTAAAATCACTTCGTTGTTTAATAAAAAGTGTGAAGAATCTACTCACATTTCTTTTCTCCCATCCTTGTTGGTTTTTGTCCTGGATTTTCTCATTGTTTATCCTTTGAAACTCTTCCAGGCAAAAGTTCTGTTGTGACCTCTCCTTCTCCGAAATAACGATGAAAACAAACCAACAAACAGAAAAGCTCCTCCTGAACAGAAAAAGAACAGGAACAACAGTATTCATGTGTGTCAAGCTTATTCATGTCGGAAATAAACAAATTCACAGCGAGGACGAAAGTTTCTTCTCTGTCCTTGGCTGTTCGCCTCGAATCTCCAGTTTTAATTTCGCTGTGCCCTGTCCATGTCCACATCCGCTGTTCAACTTTAGCCCTTACCCGTGTGTCATTGCACACACTCATTTTTCACCACAGTTATGAAGTGTTTCACCTTGAGAGCTCTGAGTTTTGAGTTAGACTCTCATTACCTTCAAACCTCACTTCTGGTTTTATGCTAATAAGAATGTATTTTCCTGGCCTCTGATGATTCTTGTGTTTTTAATCATAGATGCAGCTGATAAGCAGTGTCAGCAGTTTTCTGACTGTGCTTCCTGTACGGCCAACACCAATGACTGTCAATGGTGCGAAGACAAGAAATGCATCTCATCTTCGAGCAACTGCACTGTGGTATGTCCAAATAACACATCCCAGGCACATTCTGACATTTGGTCAGGACCTCTTGACTTTTTATCACACTGACTACTCCATTAGTTTCAATTAGACCTTTAGTGCAGTAAATACACAAACAGCACCAGCAATGTATGTCACAATTTATTTTGATGGTTTGTTTGTTGAATTTAAGTTACATTGCATCTACATGTCAACTCAAATTATAAGTAAATTAGGTTGGGGTCAGCATATTTTAAGCAGACAGTCTACTAATACTCAAATGGACCATCAGAATAAAGTGTTACCGCAATGTATCATCAGTAAAGGATACGTTTGGATATACTAAGGTAATTTTGACATGTATAGTATATATTATAATATTATTAATACAGTATGAACTGTCAAAAAAATGTATTTACATTACAATTTTATTTTATCACCTAACACTACCCCTTAATCTAAACATTTGTTAGAGCTACAAACTAAGATTGCAATTTCCAAGCAAACACTTAACAACATATATATTTGTTATAGTTATAGTTTTTTTAGGTATTTTAACCACATGTTTATGATGTTTTTGTGTAAAATGATCACATTATCACAGACGTACTGGGCTAAAAGTTTCAAATCAGACATAAACACTTTAACTTTGGTTTGAGAAGTGCAGGGACACAAAATGTGAGAAAAGTTTTTGATTAAAATCTAATTTCCTGCATTTACATATTTATTTTAAGTACTTTATTGCTACAAAATCCAGAAGAAAGTAAGCCGATTAAAAAAATTAAATACCAAACTAAAAAAAAAAAAAAAAAAAAAAAAAAAAAACTCTGTACAGTGGTTGTAGTTTGTGGGAGTTATGTTCTAAAAAAACCCAAAATAGGCTACATTCGCAAAGTAGTCTGTTTTTTTTAATTTTTTTAAATTATTACAGATGTTTTAAGGCTGTAAAACCCCTCTATACACACATTTTACACTTTTCTCAGACAGCCATTAACATTTGCACACTTTTCTCTCTTGTTTAAAAGTTCAAACCTTCGTAGAAAAATAGGTCCAGTATTATAGAATTAGGGCAACATGGAGGCACAGTGAGTAGCGATCTTGCCTCACAGCACGAAGGTCGCTGGTTCGAGCCTCGACTGGGTCAGTTGGCATTTCTGTGTGGAGTTTGTATGTTCTCCCTGTGTTGGAGTGGGTTTCCTCCGGGTCCTTCGGTTTCCCCAACAAGTCCAAAGACATGCGATATAGCTGAATTTTGGGTGAGCTAAATTGTCCATAGTGTATGTATGTGAATGGAAGTGTATGGGTGTTTACCAATGAGGAATTGCGGCTGTGTAAAACGTATGCTGGATAAGTTGGCGCTTTATTCCGCTGTGGCAACCCCAGATTAATAAAGGGACTAAGCCAAAAAGAAAATAAATGAATACATGATAGAATGAAACCAAAGATCAAAACCATTTGATCTTTATTTATTTATACCATAATGTCGCCCTACATCTGCATAACTTCTACCTTCCTTTAGAATGCCCAGAAGTTCAACTTTTTGTGGTTACCATCTTTCACTGTCTTTTGGGTGCTAGAGCAGGTGCATTTGACAGTGCAGAACATTTCGTCAACATTGTAGGGAACAAACACACAGTAAAGCACTTCAGAGTCACACTGCTAGCAATTGAAGGTTTATGTAAATTTGGTGAGCTGAACACATTCTGTACTGTACAGGGGTCTGTTCTTCGTACGTGGATTACTCAGTTAGCTGGATTTAGATATTGACGATTTGACACGATCCAGGATCGTTTCGTTCTTCAAAGCTGATCCGAGAGTTGTTGTCATAGCAACAGTTCTGCTAGGTCAAACCTGATCGGGAGCAGGTTCAATTTATATAAACAGGATTAGATCAGCTCAGTTCAAGCAAAGATTATACAGAAAGTATTTTCCGAATTCTGATATTTTCTTACAGTAGTAGTTATTTACACTTGGGAAAATAGTAAATATTTGTAACTATATATATATAAAGTTATAGTTATTAATAAAATAAATAAAGTTATACATATTAATAAAACTTATGCAATCTGCACCCGCGAAATGAAAGTACAAAGACTGCCACCTGGTGGTGCAAAGAGAAAACTTATTGATATGAACTTTTTAGATCTCTTTAGTACAAATTGTGTATAATAGAAATGCACAATATGTGACTTTTTTTTAAAAAGCAATAATACATTTATGCAGTCATAAACATGTTTTGATAGTTAATATGCCAGAGATTTGATGCTTCACAAAAATTGCAGACGCCTTTACCAATATCAAAATGCTTTTGTAAACAACCAGTTATTCTTTACACCGATTAAAAAATCGGCTACTATAATAAAGAAAATCTTTTCTAGATGTACAACTAGATACACTGATTTGCATTGAAATACACGAGGAACTCTTGACACGTGAAAGTGTAAAGCCTGCAGCTCACAACAAATGTGGAAAGTTCTTGCGTGTCATATTTAACAAACGGTTTACTGCTAATTTGATGTAATTTTGCTCACATGGATAATTGAATATTACTCAGATGATGTCATTACGCTGCTGTGCTGTCAGCCAATCGTTGCATTGCTGATCATGATTTCGAGGATCGATAGATCTGTCCTTCACAACACACGCAGCAATCTCAGATCAGTTCATCCAGACATTCTAATCTGATTCGCAAACTTGTTTGAAGAACCAAATTAGCGAGAGATCAGTTATCAAGATTAAAAGATCCAGGATCTGCCAAATAATCTTAGATCATTTAAGCGAGGTACGAAGAACGAACCCCAGGAGACATGGCACAGAGGAGATTGATTGACAGTGTTCTACAGCCAGTCAGGACACAGAACACTATGCACTAATCAGGACGCCCAACACAATGTGCTGTAGAAAAAAAAAAGTCAATTTGTACAAAAAAAATTAATACTGAAAAGTAAAGTACATTATAGTGAGGGACCACTGTACAAAAATGATTATGAAGAGAAATTAAATGAAAATGTTGATCATTATCTTATTATTTGTCTTTTATGAAACACCTGTTATAACAACAACAACAATTCGTGGTGCTAATTTTCTGTCTAGCTTAAATTCCTAAGAGTTAGAGTAAAATCAGCAGGTTTAGACATATTCTGTTTGACAGAAAATAAGATTATTTTGACCTGACCTAATATGTTGGAGCAACTAACTTGCATCACTTTTTTCACCTTCCTTGTTGACATAAAAGTCATCTGTTACTGCTTGGCTTTTTATCGCTGTCTGAAACCATAAATCTCATTAAATGTATATTTTCAACTGCAATATCTGCACATTAGAACCTTCATAGAGTTATTTTTAGAGCATGCCCATAGATGTTTTTTAGACGCAGATGTGCACATGGATGCATGCAGACTTTCTGTAGTTCATGGCTAAGACTGCCTGCATTTAAAAATCATGAAATGTAGTGGGGACACAAAGAAATTTAAAAAGTCGAAGGGACGTGTTCCAGTGGAAGTGATGCCCCAAGCTGATGATCATAAGAATATATTAAATATATACAAATTTTCCTAATGCCTTCTTATGTTTTGTCTATATTCAGCTTACAGTTGAGCTTGCTCGCCACCCTCGTGGTCCGCTGTACCTCAATCCTCCCCCTGCTATGTTGTCTGAACACCAGCTCTCTATTTGGAAACCCGGTGTGCGCAAAAACGGCCAGGTATGAAGCTTATGAATTGACTAATTGGCTTAAACATGTTGCACCTGTAACCACTTAGTTCCACCTAAAACTTTCTTGTCCACATTCAAATTTGTAGACAGAGTACTGAAAGTTTTTCTTTATCTTGTTTTTCAGTCTATCAAGAACCATACCAAATGTAGCATTCGAAGTGAGCAGGTCTGTAGCAAACTGGTGAACTGCAGGAGTTGTTCGCTTAACATTAACTGCCAGTGGGAGCCACAACAGCAGGAATGTCATGCTTTACCTGGTGAGTTAAAGTATGGAGATTGCATTGCATTGTTTTGATTAAGCGTCATTGAATCTTTATTTTAAAAACAACAACATTTGTGCTATTGTTTGCCCTGTTCTACACTTAATTCTGGGGTCAGTATTTTTGTTTTGTTTGTTGTGTCTTTCACTGCATTTTTGGGAAGAATAAAGATTCAGCACTGACTTCATAACATAAATTTAATTAAAAAAATGCATACATATTAAGTTAGATTGCTATTTAAATGTATATTCCTCTATTTTTATTTTGTACTTTTGAAGCAGCCCTTTAAGCATAACAGATCGAACGCTGAAAATTAAATCTCACTGACATCAAACTTTTGAACAACAGTATAAATGCCATTAAAGTGTATAGTTGACTTTTTGATCATGCTGTGCTCTGGAAAGATCACAGGAAAGTTTCTATTTTTAGGGCTTCCTCAGATCTGGAATTAAGCAGTTTTGTTAGTCTGATTACAAGCAGACAATGCTACATATAGATGTATATGGGCCCTAAATAGTTTAAGGTTGACCACGTTTAGCGACTTACAGAAAACATTTCATAATGCAAATACTCAGTTGATTGCACACATTGTTGATTGTGTTACGTGTTTATGTTGTTATATTGTATTTTATTAATTTCTTAATAATTTATTAAACACTGAATATATGAATGTGTTGAATATTGAATATATATATATATATATATATATATATATATATATATATATATATTAATCAGTTAATATATTAATTTAAATGTCAGAATCAGCCGAAAAACTAGAGTGTTAAAAGTATAATTAGAAATAAATATAACAAAGCAATCCAGCTAAACCAAAACCCACAAAACTATTAATCAAAGAAAAATGTAGAGACAAAACCGTAATCTTCATTGTATGCAAGGCTTAACTAAACTACTTAAGGTGTGATAGTGGCAACTCCTCTATAAGCTAACTACAAAAAAAAAAAAAAAAAAATAGATGATTCTATTCAGGTGCTCCTCTGGATCAACACAAGCGAATACCTTTTAAATGTGGTCGACCAGCTCCTGATTGGTGCGCCGAGTGGCGTCATAATGATGAATGACGATCTTCTCTTCCAGTGGTCGCACACCTGGGGCAGAACAGAAAAAGCAGGGAAAAGGGAGAGAGAGCGCAAAAGAAAACAAAAACGAAACTCTCAAAAACATATGTGAAATGCAACAACTGTTTGATTGCAGAAATTTTACTATTAAACAACCCCCTCCCCTAACAAATCACTTCCTTTTCAAGTTCTGACTTCATACTTCATAATACTTCATTATTCACTGTGTTGTACCAAAGATACATTCAAATTGCAGCACAGGCTTTATGGAAATATATGTACATATATATATATATATATATATGTATATATATATATATATATATATATATATATATGTATATATATATATATATATATATATATATATATATATATATATGTATGTGCTATTTACAGAGGTTTAATATTAACTATTTACATAGACTTTTTACCAACAAATGAGGATTATTTTCATCCAGTTTTGTTAAAACAACAAAACAAAATCATAAATCAGTGTTTTTGATTTGTAATTGAATATGTTTGCTTTACCTGTTTATTTTTATTTGGACCTCTTGTTCTGTCAATTTGTTCAGTAGCTACCTTTGTACAGTGTTGTGCTTGTGCTGCTTGGATTAGAGTCTGCTGATGCACAGTTAAACTAAAGAGAAAAAAGCAATGCAAAATCAAGGTAAACTACATGGTTGGCATGCACATTTCATTTACATTTGCTTTTTAAAACACAATTGGTTGAGTTTAGGTCAGTGGTACGGTACGGTACAACAAGCCCCATTTCCTTGTGGACTTGTACAAGACAGAAGTGTACCTGAAACATACAACCTAACCTAAGTAACATATTTCAGATTTGCATTCCTCTATCATTTGTAATGTGCAATGAAATATACCTGGAGCAATGTAATTTTAGTTTCACAGAAATGTAGGCTGATGTATGTATTTCCAATCAGCCTGGACTGTCATTTTTATTTCCTTGATTTCCCGCTCACTTGTAATCAGAGTCGGAATTGTAACAAGAGGGAACTGAAAACCAAATACAATTGGTCACACATTTGAACAAGTTTATACTGAATTGGGAAAAAGCACCGACCGACCACTTATGATCAGAGCACTAAAATGCCTTGCTAGAATTAGAACTACTTGTGACCACTTTGCATATTCAGATTTGTTGACTTCGGATTTGCTGACCTGAAATTTATTTAGAGGGCAAGATTTTGAAAGAGGCAAAGTTGGAGAAGTTTGAAAAATGCTTGAAATATCTCAGATGCAGAAACAAAGGAAACCCATTTCCACACTCTGAGGGCATTTCTACCTGATTTATTTGATCTGATCTAGTTCGAGAGCAGGAAGTAGTGCCATCGTTTGATGTATTATTAACATTCCTGTGTCTCCCTTGGGAAGACATGTTTTCTTGTCTACAAACCCACACTTTGTATCTATGCTCTACATTTCTCAGTCTCCAGAAAAGATGCACACTCACACAACCCATTGTATACATGCTAACAAATATTGCATTTCATATTAAATATTAATAAACGCCATCGTCACATTTGTTTTGCCATTTTGCTTAATGGAGTTCACATGGTCAGCTTCACTAATTTACTTTCTTAACCTTTAGATAGTACAGAACTGTTATTTATTCATTTCTTCATTTACAACACAATATTATAGAAAAGTATTCAAAATCACAACTATTTCTGTTTGTTTGCAAAAACGTGACTTTATTGACAATTTGAATATTTTAAATCTTAAGTTGATCTTGCAAATTCTGGTTCAAAACCCTGGTAATAATCTGCCTACATTTTTGTCTTATTTTACAGACTTTATTTATTTCATTATTTATTTATATTTATTTAAGCTACTAAATAGTCAAGAGTTGCATTTTCAACATCAAAAGTAGACAGAGAAGAGATCAAGGTCCCATAATGCAATTCATAACTGTAAATAAACAGAGAACCTTGGTAAATACCAAAATACAAAGACTTCTTTTTATTTAATAAATGAATATATATATTTTTTTAACAGTGCAAGGTTTTTTAACAATATTAGATCAAAAGATCAGAAAAAGCTCAAATCACCAAAATACATCTTAATACCAGATGTAAACAGGGCCTCTGGGCCAATATCAGGATTTTTTTCCAAGGACAAATGCTAGAAACTCACTTCTTATCTGTCAAACTTTTGACTGATGGCTCAATTTGGTGTACACACACACACACACACACACACACACACACACACACACACACACACACACACACTTGTAGTATTTGCACAACTCTAACTCTAGTAAAGATGTGCATATCCAAGCATGGAAAATGGAGACCTTTGCAGATGGATAGTGCCTAGACTAGAGGGCCAGTTCCAAGCAGTAATTACTCAAGATAGCTGAGATATTTATCCATTTATGGCCGAGCAGCCTGTCAACAAACCCAAAGTTTATTGTTCTCTTTTTTTTTCTTTTTCCGCACTCAGTTGTTTCTCACTTCATCGTATAACAGCCCTTATCTTAGCAGATAATCAGCCACATTTTATAAAATGTCTTGAAGTAAAGGGGGAGATGTTTTTTAATGTTATTTTTAGTGCTTTGTGGTTTTATAATTGTGTATTTTTCCTCTTTGTTTGGCTTTTCAGGAATTTGAGGGTTCTGTCTGACTGTTGGTTTTTGTGGTTAACCATCGTCACGGTTAATTATTCTTGTGCTGCTCGCTGTAATAAGTTCAAACCCCAAAGGCTTTCATGGCTCTTAATTTCATGATGTAATTTGATTTACACTACTGTTCAAAAGTTGTACTTTTTTCTCACATGCTTGCCAAGGCTGCATTTATTTGATGAAAGTACATTAAAACAGTAATGCTGTGAAATCTTTTTATGATTTAAAATAACTGTTGGCTACCACTATTCTGCTACCTGCATAATATATCGAATATGTCCCACAAAATGAAATAGTGCTTTTTAAAACTAATTTCCTGTTCGTCCTTGTAAAGTGACCTTAAAACAACGCACACTGTGTAAAGTGCTATAGAATCAAGGGTGATTTGACATCACTTGAATACTATTATTAATATAGAGTATTGTAAAATTTAATTCATATTTTTGTTGTTAAAGCTGAATTTTTAGTAGTCATTACTCCAGACTTTAATGTTAGTCAGAAATCAAAATAATATGTTGATTTGCGCATGAATCACAGAATCAAATAAAGACATTTGCAGTGATTATGGCCACAACCATATCACCCTACAGCCCAAGACTGGTTACTTAATTAAAGCCAAGCAGGGCAGAGCCTGTTAAGTACATGGATGGGAGACCACATGGGAAAACTAGGTTGCTATTGGAGGTGGTGCTTGTGAGGCCAGGAGAGGGTGCTAAATCTGCAGTCTGTGTGAGTCCTAATGCCCCAGTAAATTGAAGGGGACACCATACTCTCAGTGAGTGCCATCTTTTACATGAGACGTTAGCATGGCTCTCTGTGGTCATTAAAAAGCCCATGGCGCTGCTTGTAAAGAGTAGGGGTGCAACTCCAGTGTCCTGGCCGAATTCCCTCCGTCGGCCCTTACCCATCATGACCTCCCTTTTATTTCCATCCACAAAATTGACTGTATTACTGTCTCTTCACTTCACCTATAGCTGGTGTGTGGAGCACACTGGCGCCATTGTTCTTTGGCTGCTGTCACATTATCCAAGTGGATGCTGCACACTGGTGGTGGAGTAGGGAGACCCCTCCACATGATTGTGAAGTGCTTTGGGTGCATGGTCATACACAGTAAATGCATTATATAAAACACATGACTTACTTACTTAATATTTTTGTAGAATTATTTATTTATTCACAAAGGCATCTTTATAGAGGAAATGCGGCACAGAAACCAAACCTGAAGCAGCATGAAACCGCAAAAATGTGCATTTACACAGATTAATGCGGCTCTGTAGTGTTCTAAATGCATTTACACAGAAATTAAAATTGTAGGATTTATACTTCATAAAATAAATAGTACAATTTTAAATGAGTTTTAACAAACAAATTCATAAAAGGTTAAAGTGGGAGTAGGGTGGACAGTACAGCTTTAGTAAGCTGAAGTCATTCAATATAAAGTACTTTTTCAAAAAGGTGATATCTATACTATATCTTTGTAAAACTGTGTGTGTTTATAAGTAAGTATCTGGTGCAAACAGAAAGGAAAGAGTACCTTTCCTACAGGTGTTTTTCAAGCTGATTCACCTATGTGGAGCACACTCAGAATTTTCAGTGTTTTCAACATTTTCCAATATTTTGTGGGAGTAAGGCCTAGTTTGGACTGAAGCTTTATACTGAATTTCTCTGTTTCTTTTCAGCTCATTTGTGCGGTGAGGACTGGAGTCAGGTTGGAGATGTGTGTCTGAGGCTGAACGCCAGCAAGGAGAGTTATGATAACGCCCAGCACTACTGTAAGAACCTGGAGGGCAGCATCGCCTCTCTGACATCAGCCAGACAGGTGGAGTTCATCCTGGAGGAGCTGCAGAAGTATCAGCTGCAGGAGCGGGTGAGTTCAGCTCAAATACTGACGTAGATTTGTCTTGATACGTGATTTGGTGTATATCTAGAACACAACCAATGGTTAAGATTTTCTAGATTTGTTTCAAACTGGTCATAGCTGCTTCTATTGAGAACAGGCTGCATTTTGATATAAGCTATAGCAATCGTCATTGTTAAAAAAAAAATAATAATAATTTTTAGAATGCATGCATGGACAGGAAGTACAATGCATTTTAATTTTGTGTGCAGTTTGCCTAGACCAGGGATGGGCAAACTTGATCCTCGAGGGCCGGTGTCCCTGCAGAGTTTTTTTTTCCAACACTAGTCAAACACACCTGCACAAGTTAATCAGTGTCTTCAAGATCACTTGAACTCTATAGGGAGGTCTTTTTGAATAGGGTTGGAGCTAAACTATGCAGGACACTGGCCCTCCAGGATCAAGTTTGCCCACACCTGGCCTAGACTGAGGCCACAAAATAATATATTGAGCTCACAATATTTTTTAAACAAGGAAAAGTGTTTAAATTGTGCCAACATTTCATTTATTTATTAATTTATTTTTGTTGTACACTACCTGACAAAAGTCTTGTCGTCGATCCCAGTTGTAAGAGCAACAAATAATAACTTCTAGTTAATCATTTGGAAAAGTGGCAGAAGGTAGATTTTTCAGATGAATCATCTGTTGAACTGCATCCCAATCATCACAAATACTGTAGAAGACCTATCTGAGCCCACATGGACCCAAGATTCTCAATGAAATCAGTCGAGTTCAGTGAAGGACATAACATTATTTGAGGTTACATTCAGTATTTGCAAGGGGTGTGTGAGAGATCTGCTAAGTGTATGGCAACATTAACAGCCTGAAGTATCAAGACATTTGTGCTGCCCATTACGTTACAAACCACAGGAGAGGGAAAACTCTTCAGCAGGATAGCGCTTCTTCTTATACTTCAGCTACAAAATCAAAGTTTCTGAAAGCAAAGAAGGTCAAGGTGCTCCAGGATTGGCATGCCCAGTCACCAGATATAAACATTATGGAGAATGTTGAGGTAAGATGTAGGAGGAGGTATTTAAGATGAATCCAAAGATTCTTGATGAACTCTGGGAATCCTGCAAGAATGCTTTCTTTGCCATTCCAGATGACTTTATTAATAAGTTATTTGAGTCATTGCAGAGATGTATGACTGCAGTCGTCCAAGCTCATGGCAGTCATACACAATAATATTCATTCTTTTTCCACTAAAACATGACTTTAGATTCTATACTGTACATGATTTCTGTTAAGTGACAAGACTTTAGTCTGAGCAAAGGCAGACGGTACTGTCCTAATTAAATAATTTCAAATCAAGTCATGATCATATTTTATTTTGGTACAATAAGTGTAAAATAGAGGCCTTTACCTTTCACTTACTGTCTATTGCCATCACTATCACTATTGCCACTTCAGATACCAAATGATCAACTAGAGGTCATGTTATTATTTGTTGCTCCTGAAACTTGGATAGGTGACAAGACTTTTGTCAGGTAGTGTATGTCATGTGCAGGACTGTGTGTTTTCATCTGAAGTTTCAAACTTAACTTAGGTGCTAAATGAAATATTGCATATAAAAAATCATGCATTCTGTTCAATGCACTCAAAAAAATTAAATTGTTACTTCCTGTGAAACTACAACGAAATACTAGTTATAAAATGTATTTAAGTTGTAGAAGTAGTTTTTACCAGTGAAGCTGCTTTGTTTTTTACTATTATGCACAATTTTGCTATTTTAATTCACCGTTTTTTGTGATATTCTAAAATTCACAAAAAAAAAAAAAAAAAAATAGGTGGATGGGAGCATAGCTTCTGACACTATCAGTGATATTTCATCATATTAGATTTTAGATATGCAACACAGGCTTATTCTGAAAATGGAGCTCTATATACATTTCTGGAGACAAATTATGTAGCCAGAAGTTTGTATGGCTGCATTTCGTCTTTAAAACGAAAACATATGTGGTGGTAAGATGCTGTACTTTTTCGATGACAGGGTTTGAGTCCGGCAAACAACAGTTCCAGAAACCTGGTAGAACTAAAAAAAAAAGCCAAAAAATAAAATAAACAAGTAAATAACAGGGTGAGAACATGGTCAGATCTGAAAACATGGTAAAAATCAGGGGACTTTTCTTTTTCGGGACTGCTCAGTCAGTTGACACAGACCTCCGGTGGATTTATGCGAGAACAGCAGGCACTAATGGCAATCGTGAGAGAAATTTGAGATTTGAAATAGCGTACACAGTGGCCTCTGGTGGATTTGCGAAAACAAAAACTCCAGAAAAAAAATTACCTACTGGGACGCATTTCATGCTGTCTGTAAATGTATATATGGGTACATTTTCATAATGAGTCTGGATTGTAGATTTGTTAAAAAAGTTATATTTTATAGCAAGTAATCTGGCACAAACACCTCTATCCAACTATTTTTTTAAAGATTTTTTTCAAATCCAATTTTAAAGTGATTCTTTAAAAGCCCCCAAGCATGTTAGGTTTTTCTGTCTTAGTATACAAACATTAGCTTTTACAGTTTACTTGTTTAGTCTCTGTGTCAAATCCAGATGTAGTGGCAGATGTTTCAGGGTATAGGTTTGTTTCTAAATGTCAGTACAGCTTACACTTCAAGTCGAAAAACCTTACTCATGCCTTCACTAAAAAGCCAATTCTGCTCAAAATCTGTGGAGTCTCCCTGGTGCTGTGGTGTAAATATTTGTCATGTGTTAATTAAAAGGAAAGGAATGACTCTCCATAATCCGCTCCCTTGCTGATTGCGGCGTGAGCCTCGATGTTTAAGCAGCTTTTGTCCTTTGAAGATTAACACAATTTTCTAAAGGACCCACCTTTGATGTGAAAAAGATTCACATGCACTGCTTTTCTCAGTTGCCACTATTTTTCGTCTTTTCTGTCACTCATACAGACAGTCACGCTCGCTTCCTGTGGCTCAACAAACTCACGGGAGATCTTAAACCCTTTAAACGTTTTAATCAAAGCACGCCAGACCTTTTCATACTGGGAAGTTGTTAATTTGAATGGAAAATCTGAAGGGTTGGGGTATGTCAAATTCAATTTGTTTTGCCTTGAATTGATTATTAAACTGTGCATTGGCCTTTTGCCTTTCCTTGAAGAAGACAGAAATAAAAGAGAGGAAGAAAAAACTTGTATTTGTAAGACTATAGCACATATTCTACAAAGACGACATGCTTATTAGCCATCAAAACGTCAAGGTGCTCTGAATGGATGTCCAGCAGAAACTGTGTAATGAGGTAAAAATCGAGTTCAGATTGAGTTCAAATTGAGGTTTATGAAGATGAATGCTTCTCTTTTATTCCTCTGAATTTACCACATCCGTAAATATGTCAGTCTGTTTATCGTTTTAACTTCAGACGCCTTTCTGGTCTTTACACTAATGTTCATAATCGCGAGTATTTATGAACGCAGGATGATAACAGCTCATTGAACCTGTGTTCAAAGTGACTTTAATGCTTTTAAACAAGCTTTATGTCAGATGTGTGGCTCAATTACATTTCAGCACCCAGCAAATGGAAACAGCACTCAAAGTTTTTTATTCATTTGTTTTATAATAAATAAGTTCATATGAACTTTTCTGCATTGGCTGCTGGAAATGACAGCTTTTGCCTGCAGTTGCTACTACTACTACTACTTTTTAATAATGATAATTATTTGCATAGACGCTGCTTTGTGTTATTTTAACATTTGTTTTTGCAATTGTTTATGGTATTTTAGGTTTTTACCTGCTTTTTGTTTTGTTTTTAACTTAGTAACTATTTTTTGTAATATAGCTTTGTTTAGGATTTTTTGCTTTGTTTCAGGGTATTTTATGGGTTTTTCCCTCCAAGAATGTAAAATATTATGCCAAATAATTTAGTTAAATTTATTATTTAGCTATTAAGGATTTTTTTTTAAATTGTTTTATTTATAAATTGTAAAACACATAACAAAAATACAACATAAGTACAACTAAATCATGTATCAGTAAACAAATACATTTATTCATTTTAGTCCCTTTATTCATCAGGGGTTGCCACAGCAGAATGCCATCTTATCCAGCATATATTTTACACAGCTGATGACCTTCCAGCTGCAACCCAGTACTGGGAAACCTCCATACACATTCACACAGACACACTACAGCCAAGTTAATTTGAATTTACAGCCAATTTAATTTAAACCGAAGCACCCGCAGAAAACCCACGGCAACATGGGGCGAACATGCAAACTCCACATAGAAACTTCAAATAACCCAGTTGGGCCTCGAACCAGCGACCTTTTTGCTGTGAGGCGACAGTGCTTACCACTGAGCCACCGTGTCGCCATAAGCACTGAAGAGTATTTTGAGCAAAACAAAAAATAAAAACAAAACAAACAAACAAAAACACAAGTGCAGTCTTACATACAGAAAATACATGTCTACAATGTGCTGACTAGAACTAGTATCCAGTACCAAGCAAGGAGTTAGGTGTGCAGACTCAATCACAAAGAACAGGGTCAAGCTGAAGAGTGTGGACATGTTTGCCAAGGGGTTCCCACGGTTTGATGAAAAAAGTGCTAGGTTAGTAAAGAGAGTACCTAATTTTCTCTATTTTTTTTAAATGAAATAAAGAACATTTCTTATGCAATAAGTGTGAGATGGAGGGTGAGGGCTCTTCCAGTTTAGAATAATTATTTTCGAGTTCAGACTGCATGTTTTTTAAAGTAGTCATGTCACAGATGTTTTCACACTGCATGACTATCTGGGCTAGCGTTTCGTCGCTGCTTTGTTTACACCGCAAGATGGATCTGCGACAGGGACTTTCACATTGCATGACTTTACTATAGGAAGAATCGCCGACAACTTCGTCCAAACTACGTCTCACAGCCAAAAACATGTAGTATATCTTTTGTTATTAACTACATAATGAGAAAGAAGCCTTTAATGGGGTAGAACATGTACATGTTTGCTCACCTGGGTTTAAAGGGAATTAGCCATTTCTCCTTAACGTTGATAATAAACTAATTTCTTTCTGTATGAAACGTCAAACAGACACGGTTGCTCCTGAGTCCTGTCAAACCTCCACTAGTTTTTCCTCCATTTCGTGGGTCCAAATAAACCAAATATTATTCTCCCCCAGCCTTCCGCTGGCCTGCAGCAGGTATACACACACGCACACACAAGTGAAAGCTGCTCTCTCATTGGCTGTAGGTGATGGCTGATGTTATTTTCAGTCAAAACTCAATTCACACGGCATGATTTGAAATCGCCGACAGCTCCAGATCTTTAGCATGCCAAATATCTCACAGGCATCGGCGACTCATCTGCGATTCTCTCAGATCGTGTCTTTAAAAGTTTGTACTGTGTAATTGTCACTCACGTGCACAAGCAGCGATTTGCCTGTGATTTCAAGCATTTGTCGGCGATTTCTCAAAACCTGTCGGCGAGCCACAATCGGGACTAAAATCACGCAGTCTGAACTAAGCATAACCGTCTTGCCAAAAGTGTTAAGAAGGCTACAAAGTCTGCAAAATAAGAAGGTAAAGTGTGGCCAGGTGGGAGAACCCCAAAAGCTGTTTGGATTTTAATGAAATCATTCATTCATTTTTAAATCATGATGGGTTTTAATTGACAAATCTTTAGTAGTAAAGCTTTTTTGTTTTAATATTTTAACATTTGGTTTTTTCATTTTATGCTGTTATTTTTAGGATTTTTATTGTTTTTGTTTTGTGTTTTTATTTATTTAATTGATTAATTTATACATTCATTAACTCTGTTTTGTTTTATGCCATTTTGACTTTTAATGTTTAAGTTTATGTATTGATTTTGATTCCCTATTGTTATTTTATGTTTCTTTTATATTATTTTAAGAAACATTTTTTTCAAAGTATTGCCAAAATAATTTGTTATTAATGCATTTTAATAAATAAATGAATTTATAAATCATAATAAATTTTACTTGAGAAAAAAAAAGTTTTCATCATGGAAAATTTCTTTCAAGCTATTCTATATTATATTATGAATACTTTGTACTACATATACAAACACACATAAACCTAAAAACCTAATAATATAACAAGCCCAAAATGTTCACTAATTATTGACAATACAGATTGTGACATATGTTGTACTATATGTGTGTATAAGACATGAGGAAATGTGTTTTGTCTTTTGCAGAAACTAACTCCCTGGGTGGGTCTGAGGAAGATAAATGTTTCATACTGGGGGTGGGAGGACGCGTCTCCCTTTACTGCCAGCACACTGCAGTGGTTACCAGGAGAGCCGAGTGACTCAGGGTTTTGTGCTTACCTGGAAAGAGCTGAGGTAGCCGGACTCAAAGCCAAACCCTGCACTGCCAACACCGAGGGGCTGATCTGTGAGAAGCCCATTGGTGAGAAAAGTTTTCTTTGTGCTTTTTTTTTTTCTCTTTTGTAACGCGAACCTGGAGGTAATTCAGTGCCTGTTCTGTGGTGGATGCTGTTCTTACACATCAAACCCAAACTGAATCCCTGGCTCCCACAGAAAACTCCAGGTTTCAGAAAAATTGGAAAGTTTTACATGGTTCCACACATCTCTAAGTAGACTTCTATTAAATTTATTCTGTCTAAATTCGATTGAGGAAGCAATTCAGGTGTAGTATTCTCAGCACAGTTAAAGTCTGATATAAAAAAAAATGAAGAAAAGAAGGGAAAAGAAGTTTGAAGAAGAAAGTTAGCATGAAAAGTGTATTTACTTACTTTAATAAGTAGATATGTATATGCTTTTTCTCTTAGTAACAAAATGAACAAACAGCAATATTGGTTGTGGTGAGAAAACAGCAGTTAAGAAAGCTTCTGATTATATTGATATTTGCATGAGCTCTGCTCTATTCATACATTATTTTGCTTGAATGAAAGCAGCTTTATGTTTTAAACATGTTTCTGTCAAAGTCAAAAGCTTCTAAAATTGGGGCTGCAGGCCTGCATACCCAATAAGGATATACAATCCATTCCACAACACTTGATCTAGGCAGGGGCGAACCATATATGGGCAATGACGGATGAGTCTATCGCAAAAATATCAGCATAATTTATATGTAGATTATTTAATTAGATTTTATTGATATGCTTTTCTATCGGTATAATGGACCATAAGATTTTTCACAAACTCTAGTGTGACCGCAGTTAGTTTGATCAAGTGTGTTTAATTAGGATTGGAACTAAACTTTGCAGAACTGCATCTCTCCAGGAAGAGAGTTTGACACATGAGGACTACACCAACCTCAACCCTAAACCTAGCCCTTACAGCAGGGGTGCTCAAACCTGTTTCTGGATTTCTGCAGATTAGCTTTCAACCCTGATCAAACACAATTAATCCAACTAAGTGGAATCCGAAGAAGTACTTAGTGATTGAGAAGAGGTGTGTTTGATGAGGTTTGTAAACTCTGCTTGAAGGCAGATCTACAAGAAAAGGATTGGGCACCCCTAAGTAATCGGTTGTGTTTTAACATCTACACCACAACCCTAAACCTAGCCATCACAGTTATTTAAAAAAAAAAGGATTTATTGTTGTACAGCATCACAAAAAGATGCTATATTTATCTGCACATTTTCAGTAGCCACAGCCAGAACACTTCTAGCCATAACTAAACTAATGGTTTCCTCCCATTTAGAAGCTTGGACCATGTTGTCTGGACTGTTTGTCCTTAAATGTTTGGGTGTGCAGTTGAAAACCACTGATCTATAAGATACAGTAGTGTGCTCTTAAACAATGACAAAATCCACTTTAAGATGTAGACATTCAAAACCTTCTTCAGTTTCTGACAATATTGATCAGCGACTTCTTTACATCTCTCTGAACTTCAGCTTGTCATCAGATCTTCTGACAGTTTGCATTCTTTTTAGAATCGGATGCATCCTGCACCTTACAAGTCACTATATTACAATTGAATCAATCAAACACACAGTCTGCTCTAGCCTAGAGACACAAAAACACACATCAGATCATATGCACAAGGATCAGACCACAAAGCATATTTTGTACTGATTAAAAAATCCCGTAAGTGCTGTATTTTAATGAAGAGAAATGTTAACTAAGGTGATATTGTCATTGCAGCTGTCATGAGTAACAGATGCACTTTATCTCAACAACTCTGACTGGCCAAGCTGTGATGAAAACTACGTAAACGCTATTGGTCATTTTAAAAAGCGGATGGGCTACTCAGCTATTACAGTCTATAATTATTTTTAGTTGAATTTATATGAACATGTTAAACAAAGCTGCACATTACAGTTAAGTTTCCAAATAAGGCTGGACCACAGAAATAAACCCACCTATCACACAATCTCTATGGACCAGTGATTGGTCCATTCAACAAACAAGCAAATCAATAAATAATTATCAGTTAAAACAAGCATCTATAGGTTGTTTTTGTCTCAATGTCTTTGATATTCTAAATAAGCAGAGCTGTTGAATATTCTCTCACACCTCCTTTGTTGCATTGGCTGTTGTGTGTTTATCGGACTTGTTTGAAACTCTGGAACAGAGACACAGAGGAGGCACAAATTAAGCCTTGAATAATTGCTGGACACTCCTCTTGTGCAGACATAAGCAAAGGGCATAAAGAATGAACATCAGCTCCCCTCATCTTGTTTATTCTGCTCGTCTTCATGTTTTATTTACATTGTTCTGCTCATTGTGCTCATTTCAGTTTTATGTCTTACTCTACAGAAGGTAACAAACCAGTCTTTTTGGGGCATGTCATTATGCCTATAACATTCATCATCAATAAATCCCATTATCTTTAAATGTTTATAGCTAGTAGTAATACATCTATTATAAAACCTAATTGCCATAGGGTGCAAATGCCTAAGACCATATTGTGCTGGTGGATTCATAATATATCTTTAAAATAAACAAAATCTTAGCATTAACTTTTAATAAATTTAAATGAAGCGCTATTATATAACATGAATAAAGTGTTTTAAATTCTGCAGTCTTCATTTGCTGATCAAAGTAAGTTTCTTGACATGGATAATATGGCTGTACAGATGTTCTTGCCTTCATTAAAACACAAGATGTTCTTTGGATTTTTTCTTAATGAGTTTTATACAGATTTCTGAAGTTTGTGCTAATGTTTCTTTTGTCAATAACTATAAGGTTGAACTAAATAAATAAAGTTAATAACAGTGCTCAGCATAATTGAGTACACCCCCATTTTGAAAATGGATATTTGTATCTATTTCTCAGTGAATATAGGCAATGCATTTTTTGTGCATTTAAACAAAACTGATTTATTAAACAGATATATTTATTAAAATAATATTTTAGTCACCAAACATATTTAGAAATTGAAAGAAAATACAATTAAATTCAAGCAAAATATTGCAAAGAAAAAATACAACCTACAAAATTTCTATGAAATGTTCATTTTTTTTGTCTCTTGATTTTTCCTCTTTTTTTAAAATTTGTATTTAATATTTTTCTATAACATATACATTTGGGTGTACTAGTTTTTGGATCGTTATCGTGTTTTTTTTTTTTTGTTGATTAGCTCCAGCTTTGGCTTCAGTACTGGCTAGCCTAATGTATATGCACACATGTAATATTGTATAGCTTCCTATTAAAAATATTAATTTAAAAGATAGATTTGTGAGGGGTGTACTTATATATGCTGAGCACCGTAGATGTGACAGAAAAATAGAAACATTAGATGATAAACCTTACAAATAAAATAAAACCAATAAACAAATAATAGTTTACATTGCCAACAAACTACACAAAATAAGATTTCAAATACCTAAATTGAAATCAAGATAGAAGTTATTAATAATACTCAAATAGATCAAAACTGAAAATAGAAATATAAAACCTTTAAAAATAAAATGTATGAAAAAACCTAAAGCACCTTAATAATATATTACACACAAATGTTTAAAATAAGCTAAAAATAACATAAAAGCTTTTTATACTAATTATATACACTTGTATGATTTAAATGTAGTGTTTATTTTGGCTGTTTAAGATTTTGAATAGTTTTTTATAATTTGCATTTGTAATTTTTATTTGTGGACTTTTCTGTGTATTATCAGGAACTTGTTGTGTATTTAGTTCACAGTTGTCTATATAACAGATTTAATGTTTCAAATGATGTAACTTGCTTTGGGGTCATTGCAATACTGACTACTGCATTTTCCTCCCCCTAGTGAGTCCAAACCTTAGCGTGCGTCCATGTAAGATGCCCTGTGCCCTGCGAACCACCTGCGCCAACTGCACCAGCCAGGCCATGGAGTGCATGTGGTGCAGCAGCACTAAACGCTGTGTGGATTCCAACGCGTATGTGATCTCCTTCCCCTACGGCCAGTGTCTGGAGTGGCAGACTGGAGACTGTGGAGGTGAGTCAACACTGGAACCATCAAGGACACTAGCACATTAAGATATATAGCAGACTAGAAGCTGGAGTTATGAGTGAACTGGTGAACACACACACTGGCACACATACACACAGAGCTTCTAACTCGTTTACTTTCCGCCTTCTCATTTTTCCCGTCTGTTGTGAGCCTAAGGGAGATTGAGTTCTGAGAGAGCAGATGCTGTGAGCGCTCAGCCTTCTGCACAGGCAGGTATCAAACTCACTATAAACTCCTGTCAACCCCTGACTGGCCTCCACCGGAAAATCTATAAACTATCGACGTCTTTCCGGCCTTGCACATGAGACTGCAAAGACAGAAAAAAGAACAAAAAAAAAAACGTATTTTGATCATCGCCTCCACATCTTATTCAGACCTTTGACTTATAGCATAAATGTCAGTCTTCATTGAAGGTTTTTTGCCCAAGAACTGCCCACACAGTAAGAGATCGTCTAAGGGTCATGTAAAGTGACCTAAGGGCTCACTCACACCGAGTGCATCGTTGCTTCTAAAAACACAGAATTTTGGAATGAGTTTTAAAAAAAGTTCAGCATAGCGCAAAGTCCATGTGACACTATATTATGCACATTATGTGATAATGACAATAACGGACCCATTAGAAATAGGAAAACAATATGTTATGATAAGCACATGAAGATAAATCGCATAACTCAGGATATTCTGGACAAAGCCACAATGAGCCTCCACCACCATGATTCATTCAGTCATTTTCCTTCGGCTTAGTCCCTTTATCATCAAGGGTTGCCACAATGGTATGAACCGCCAACTTGTTTGCTAACTCATGTTTTACGCAGCAGATGTCCTTACAGTTGCAACCCATTACTGGGAAACACCCATACACTCGCATATGCACACACATACTGTACACTACGGCCAATTTAGTTTACTGGAGCACCCAGATGAAAAACGGGGAGAACTCCACACAGAAATGCCAACTGTCCCAGCTGGGACTCGAACCAACAACCCTCTTGCTGTGAGGCAATAGAGCCAACCACTGAGCCACTATGTGGCCCCTCTTCTTCATGATATAACGGTAAAAAAAAAAAAACGGTTATCATGCCATCTTTCTAGTATAAACAGACGGTCGCAATTGTTGCCTCTGAGCTTATCTGATTAGTCCACTGCTTTTGGACTTGACAGTGATGAGTTTCGCTGCAAGTGAAAGTTGAAGATTTTTTAGGTTGATACAGCATCTAGAAAATGTGCCGCTCATGTGCGCACTGCTTCAAAAGATGCTAGAGGTGAGCGAAGTGGTCAAACACTTTCCTCCAGTTCCTATTTACATTAAAAGACAATATAAAAGTAGTACTTGTTGAGCTATTGTAAATTTTCATGATGGCACAAGTGCAAGCTAATTGACAGTGCATAGTCTTTTTAATTGGCTAATTCATTCAATTTCTTTTCGGCTCAGTCCCTTTATTAATCAGGGTTTGCCACAGAATCATGAACCGCCAAATTATCCAGCATATGCAGCAGATGCCCTTTCAGCTGCAACCCATCACTGGGAATCACTCATACACTCTCATTTACTACGGATTAATATATAATTTAGCTTACCCAATTCACCTGTAGTCACCTATATGTCATTGGACTTGTGAGGGAAACCAGAGCACCCGGAGGAAGAACACAGGAAGAACATGCAAACTCCACACAGAAATGCCAACTGACCCAGACATGCACGAACCAGCGACCTTCTTGCTGTGAGGCAACAGTGCTACTCACTGCGCCACCCCTGTTTTGGTTAATATTTTTGACAATTTTTATCTGAAAAAAAAAAGTTGAAATTTTAAAATGATATTTTCAGGCATTCATTTTAGCTGCTGAGAATTATTAATTAATTGCCCCTTGTGCAAACCTGGACATTTTTTTTTCTTCTGTTGGTCAGTTTGGCCATATACAACCTGCATCTAAATTCAGTTAACAATACAGTTTTTAGTTAAGTGTTCTACAGGAGTCACAACAATAAACTCCTGATAAATTCAGGTTGGAACAGCCACATTTACACAGTCTCTATACAGTCTGTATGGAACTGAACTGACAGATGTGAAATGACATATGTATAGTATTTTTCAGTGTTATACTATAACAGGAACTAAGTATATATTTTAAGATGTTTTTTTGTTTGGTTTATGTAAACTTTTGAGCAGTATTTAAAGCGCTTTTATTTATAAAGTTAATGTAAATCCAACCAACAATTGTGTAATTAGCCGCTTTAACTTTGTTTTTTGCATTTTGGAGATATTAGCTAAATATTCATGGCTGTTTGTTTCCTGAAAACATACCTTGTGGCTTCAAACTATCATTCATGACATCACACAATTTTAAGATCAAAATAATGTCAGATTGTTGCTGGAAATAATGAACAATCATTTAGGAAGTGCTTCAATTCATTTTCATTTTTGTGCTTTATTGTGTGGGTTCTCTTAAATCACTCTGGGTTTATGTCATGTTAGCTCACTATTTTGTTAAAGCCTGCTTTCAATTCAATCAAATGCTCAGGTCATATTAAGAACAAAAACTACACTAATACACAACGCCTTGAGCTGCAGTTTCAGCCACACAAGTTTGCAAGTTCAGTTATCAAATATCCAACAGTTCTATGGATTGGAAAAACACTGAACGGTTGAATATGTTAGCAACAACAGAACTTGCGACCATAGTTACTAACGATGGTTTTGGGAAACGCACCGCAGATATAAACTAGTGATTGCAGCCATCACTTTCTATTTTTATATGCGTCATGCGTCAGTGTGTGAACTGTAGGCAGTCCATGGGTGCACCTTCTGAATCTGAGGCCGTTCAGATCTCTGCTCAGTCACTTTATGATTCAACAGCTCCTTTAGTTTCTTCTAAGTAGATTTGCAGAAATATCCCTATACACAAGAGCGATATCATGTGGTCCCAAACAATGCAGAATCATGCCAAAGTATCCGAAGTGACTGATGGTAATCGTCTCAGAAAAGCCTTAGGAGTAGCTGACGCGGGCTTACCTTGTATAGTCATCAGCAAGTTTGTAGAGGCACGGAATCATTCTTTCTTTCTGCATTAAGAGGCACTGGAGCTGGCATCGTAATGCGACGTAAATGAGCAGCTGCAACAGGGACGAGAATGAAAAATAGATATGCAGTCCAACCGAGAGGCGTAATGCTTAATAACCAACATATTTCTCCTGAAAAAAAAAATAGTACTACAAAAACCTGACAGGCGAAAATTGCCTGTCTATAGTGTCTCAGCAAGTCGAAAGTCTTGAGACCCAGCGGCCATGATCTCCTCTTCTATTGGCCATTACAGAGTTACACTGATATTACTGTTGTTTCTCTGTGGATGTGCTGGTCATCGATTTTATCTGGACTGTGGAGACTGAAAGCCTCCAGTGCATTGTTAACTTGGATTTTGATGTCTGTATTTCATAGAGGCAATCTGTCAGACAATAAACATCATTAAGGTCAGCTCTCTGATGGAAGTGAATTGCTAGGATCGCTTTTCATCCTCCAAGGAGTCGGATTATGAGCAAAAGCAAATATTTTGCTGAGTGATTCTTTGGTGTGAAAGGCCCCGTAGATGGACCTGTTGTGATGGAGGATAATTTAATTAGAGAAAGTGCAGTTTTCATGTTTAAACAAAGCTTCAGACAGAGATAAAGAAGCAGCTTGACAGCCTGATAATATGCACCTCATCAAAATGGAAATGAAATTCTTCACTGGCTCAATGTGCTCAGCAAATATAGCCTTTTCAATGCAGAACTTGAGATAAACGAAATACTGTATTGTACAATGTGCCAGCATGTTGCGCATTGGCTGCGTCCATTGTGTTGTACTGTTACGGAACGGAATGAGTTTGACATTTTTGTCATTTAATAACATTTGTTTTAAAGTCTTTGTTCAGTTGTTGAACACAGACACATTTGTGAGAATTGTCGAGGCAAGAAGTAAAACTGTATGGTGAGTCTAGTTTTCATCATTTTTATTTTATGTTTTCATTTATAATCTTAGCAACAGCTGTTCTATGGATAAGAGTTTTCTGCAGTTAAAAAGTCTGAAGGTGGTCTTTTCCTATTGAGTACATTTGTCTTATCTTGTTTTCAGGACTCGCTATTTTATTTAAAACTGATGGAGACTATAGGTGTACTCACATATAATAATACGATGATTGCCATAACCCAACCTAGGCGTGATTGCTCCCCCCCACTATTCTCCCAACGACCTGCGCACACTTTCCCAGCCCAAGCATGCTTTAATCATACACTACCTAACTAAAGTCTTGTTGTCGATCTCATTTGTAAGAGCAAAAAATAGTAACTTGACGTCTAGTTAGATCTAGGTAGATTTTTCTAATGAAATATCTGTTGAACTGCATCACAATCATCACAAATTCTGCAGAAGACTTATTGGAACCTGCATGGACCCAAGTTTCTCACAGATTAGTCAAGTTTGGTGAAGGAAAAATCATAGTTTGGGGTTACATTCAGGATGGGGGCGTGCAAGAGATCTGCAGAGTGGATGACAACATCAACAGCCTAAGGTTTCAAGACATTTGTGCTGCCCATTACATGACAAACCACAGGAGAGGGCAAATTCTTAAGCAGGATAGCACTCCTTCTCATATTCAGATTGGCCAGACCTGTCAGCAAATATGAACATTATTGAGCATGTTTGGGCTAAGAGGAAGAAGGAGGCACTGAAGATGAATCCAAAGATTCTTGATAAACATCATGCAAGAATGTCGTTTCAGATGACTTTATTAATAGGTTAGCAGAGATGTATGGATGCAGTCCTCTAAGCTCATGGCAGTCATATACACAATATTAATTCTTTTTCCACTGCACTATGACTTTATATTCTATACTGTATATTATTTCTGTTAGGTGATGAGACTTTTGTCTAAGTATAGTCAGACCTTGCTGTCCTAATTAAACAATTAAAAATCAAGGCATGATCATATTTTATTTTGGTAAAATAAGTGAA